AACTTCCCCTTACTGCATATTCAGCTGCACATATCTTAAAGGATTATTATTGCGTATTTCGGACGTTACTTCACTTGAATAACATATTCAATGCACTGTACGCATACTTGGTAGCATTCAACTGCACATATTTTAAAGAATTCTTAAGAGGTATTTTTAATGTTACTGATTAAGATACATAATATACTGTACAGAACTGTTCGTATACTATGCACTATATATTCAACTAGAAATATCTCAAGATTATTATGACGTATGTTGAATGATACGTAGTTTTCTTGAGTCCAAGCTCTTTAGTTCGATTTAGATAGAAGGGAATTAAAATGATTGGAATTGAAGCAATAAAATTGTAGTGATGGCCACTCCAAACAGTGATCAAAGATATGACGAAATATAGATTTTATTAAAGTATTGGAAATGCTTGGAGCAACGGTACAAATATCTATTTATAAAAGCAAATAAGTATCATACGATGAAAGTAACTCTGAATAAGGTTGAAATTCTATAACAAAATTCCCCGAATAATATCAACTAACCAAGGGTTTCATTGCTTCGGTAAATAGTTTTATCCAATCATATCAATTTTGTCATCCTATTGGGCAAGACGTTCGGCATTAAATCATTGATTGTTTACGCTATCACCGAATGGGCCACTGAATTTGTATATACCTTTGTACACTAGTATGGATAATACTCCTATAAATCAGATATGGCTTGATATAATTATGATGAAACACAGTGAAAATCAATCATCAGAGTACTTCTTTGCTGTATAATCCCTACTAAGTAGTAGTACTATAGTACCGTACAACTACTACGTAGTACTAAGTAGTAGCACTACGTAGTAGTTGTACGGTATTAACTGTTAATAGTAGTACTAATACTGTATTACTATTAATACTGTAGTAGTACCTTGTACTGTACTGTAGTATGTACAGTGTCAAATATCGTCCTTTACAGTACCAGGTACTGTTATAACTTGATATAATTATGATGAAACACAGTGAAAATCAATCATCATAGTACTTCTTTGCTGTACTATTAATACCTACTAAGTAGTAGTACTAAGTAGTTAAGTAGTAGTAGTTGTTCGGTACTATTAACTGTTAATAGTAGTACTAATACTGTCTTACTACTGTAGTAGTACCTTGTACTGTACTGTAGTATATACAGTGTCAAATATCATCCTTTACAGTACCAGGTACTGTTCTGTACTACAAAGTACTGTACTGTAGTACAACATAGTATACGTATAGTAATTATT